CTCGAAGGGCTCCCAGAGAGCTGCAGAGGGATTTTGGACAAGGACCTGTAGTGATGGGAGAAGGGGGAATGGTTTCCCACTGACACAGGGCAGGCTTAGGGGGATATTGGGAAGAAAGTTTTCCCTGTGAGGGGGGAAGGCCCTGGCACAGGTTGCCCAGAGAAGCTGTGGCTGCTCCATCCCTGGGAGTGTCCAAGGCCAGGCTGGACGGGGCTTGGAGCAACCTGGGCTAGTGGAAGGTGTCCCCGCCCATGGAAGGGGGTGGGACTGCATGAGCTTTAAGATCCCTTCCAGCTCAAACCATTCTGGGATTCTACTTCTGCACTATTAAGAAAACCCTTGGATCACACAAATAAACCCTTCATAACAATCACATCAAGTCTTTGGCCCCACAGTTGAAACTTTCCAATTTACACAGCAAAACTACCCAAAATTTCTTTTTCGCAAGCCGAGCCAAACGTACAAGCAGCACATTTTACCTTCCATCTAGTTCTCTTACTGCATCAGCTGCATCTCGTGGATCTTCGAATTCCACAAAGGCAAAACCGGGAGGATTTCTCGCCACCCACACACTGCGCAGTGGTCCATAGTAGCCAAAGGCTCGCTCTAATTCCGTTTTGTTGCCATTGTTTCCAAGGTTACCCACATAAACCTTGCAGTCCAGCGGACAAGAGTCGCGATGCATTGCTAGGACAAGAAAAAAAGAAGTTCACGCCTATTTAAACACAGAGCGTGCACTTGTTCACTTCCAAGGAAGTCGTTCTGTTGGCTCCTTCCGCCTGAAACTTCAGCGGAGATACGACCTGATGCGATGGAAATATTAATCTGTGTGCAACGGGCGGGCAAGGGGGGGTTAATATCGAACAAAAAAATCCGAGTTGTTACGTCGCAGTGTGATTAAAATTCACTGTTTGGGGGTATTTCGGCTACTTTTAAGGTTTACGGCTTGGAAGGGGAGGGGTGGGGGGTGTCCCTACGCCCTTTCCCTGCTTAGCGCGGGGGGGCCCGCAGGGGGCGCAGCGCGGGGGAGGCTCCATTGTTCCCGGATCGGGATTAGGATCGGGATCAGGGGGATCCGCACAGGCGGGGGTGGCAGCGCCATCCCCAGCCGACCCCGCCGGCAGCGCCCGGGGAATCCCTACGGAGCGGCTCCTCGGTGCGTCGTGAGGGACCAGCGCTGCCGCGGGCGGGCGGGACGGCGCCACTCCGCCCCCGCGGCACCTCCCGCTTTGCCTCGCACACCACCGAGAGCAGGCTGAGCACGGGCTCGTCCAGGCAACCCGCGGCCTCCCCGCCGCCTCCCCTCAGCGTTGCGGCGGCCGCCGCCCGCGGCCCGGCCTCACAAAATGGCGGCCGCTCTTTGTTTGCCGCCGATGCCGCCTCCATCCGCCCCGCCGGGGCCCGAGACCACGGGTGCCGCCGCCTCCCCCCACAAGCCCTCTGGGGTGAAGGTCCTCACCGATGCTCAGAGGGAGGGCGCGCGAAGGGAGCCCGCGCTAAACTCAGCCGACTCGACCCCTCAGAGAGACCCCAGCTCCGCTTTTCCTCACTGGACAAAATGGCGGCTGGCGCTTAACCCGCCTGCCTTATATACGGCCAGCCCTCTCCCACGTGACGCGAAGCGACAGCGAATCAGAGAGCGCCGTTGAGCTGATTGACGGGTGGCGTCACTCGGCGTGCGCGGGTGGGCGGTGCCTCCGCGCCAATGGCGGGAGCGCTGAGGCGGCTCCGCGGGCCCCGCCCGGGCCCTGGGATCAGAGAGCGGCAACACCCTCGAAAATGTTGGGTTTTAATGGCCAAAATGAAAAATAAAGTTTTATTTCCTCGTGTCTCTTGCGCGATCGGGTCCCTACGGGCCGTGGTTTTTAAGCATCATCCTCTCAGCACTGGGGTTTACACGTACGAACACTTCGTATGAGCAAACTGCTGTAAACTCACAAGTTTTGGCAAATTTTATATGGGTTTATGAGGCCCAAGAGAGGGAATTGATTTTTTTAGCACTTGAGAAAACAGTATTAGAACTGAGGAATTTTATTTACAGATACACAGTGCTGTTGATGTGCTTTACTAAACTCTCCTTCATACATGACATTTATACAACATGAGTTTTAACATGAATTAAACAAATAACTTGCTCTGAAGGGGTTTCCCTAGATAAAAACCCTCTTATTTTGGGTTATCAGGTAATATAAGAATCCCCATCTGGGGCTGTTGCTGCAATAACCTCCCAAAACCTCCCTTCGCAGCCAAGCTGTGTTTAATTCAGACTTTACGTCTTTGACCTGGGCCAGGGAAGACAAAATTCTCTGTACAAGTAGAATTAATAACAGTTTAAATCAAATTATATGAGATAAGGCATTCTGAGTACAAATTAATGCATGTGGACTGTGTTTTCCAAGCAGGAACTGTGCAGAGGATGGGACGTCCTCAGTCTACGGGAATTCTACCAGCATGTAAATAAAACCCAGCTGGCATTAGAAACGACTAGCTGAGATAATTCCTTAGAATTTTCCAAAATATTTTGCAGCATCGTCCATTATTTTTAAGAGCTTTTTCTCAGTAAAATCCTCCAAGGGTCAAAACTGGCCAGGAGACAGAAACACAACAATGACTTTGAGGTAACGAATGCCCTAAAGTATCTTTATCATCTGTGCAGTTATCTCACAGTTACCTGCCTTTAATTAAGGAAATCTAATCCATTGTAATCTAAATTAGCTGATGGTTAATTTCCTGAGGCAACACAAACAAAGGAAATAATTTGAAGCTTGGGGCTGTTCAACCATTTCACTTTGTGACTTCTTGGAGACAGTGATTTCCAGGACTCGCCTCCCTTCTCCAAGGGGTTTGCAACACTCCTAGGCCCTGCTCCTATCACATAATGTACATTTCAAATATGATTTAAGATTTGCAATAATGAATATTTTTTAAAAAACCAAACCAAACAAATATTAGTTAGAGAGCAACGTGGACAAGCTTGTAATCCTAACAGAACTTTTATCTTCATCCCAAAGTTACACATGATACAGGAAAATAATTCCAGACGACAGATTTGGCAACAAAGAATTTGTTCAGAAGTAAGTTCACCTCCTGCAGAGCAAACACAGCATTCAGCACTCACCTAGGACATGCTACCTGCTCTATTCAAGGTGCTTCTTACCTGGGGTTAAGCCCATCACCACGTTTCATAAACCACAGCCCATAAAAGTCATGTCATATAAACATAATCTGTTTTCAGTTTGCTTTTGGCATTATAAAGAAATTAAATGTGGCCCATCACTGGGACAAAAGGCCTATTGGAATATTCAGCCTAATTCCCACAGTTGAGGTTAGGATGTCCCAGTACAGGCACACTGCACTTCTGTCATTGTAAAATCAGCATTTTGCTTGTCCTCTCCCAAAGACAGTCCCCGAGCCAGCTCTGAGAGCACTATATGTGTGTGTTGCACATACACGGAAGCTGAATTGTGTTACGTTACTCTCTTCCTTATTCCAAGTCTGTAAGGGTCTGAAAAATCCTGCTGGATCGAACTCTCTGGCTTTCACAATAAGAAAATGCCACTCACGTCTGATATTTGTGAGAGGTACAGAACTTTTACATTCATCAGATCTTGTGTGAAAGGAAGGAGAGAACACTGACCTCACAAACAAAACCAGACCTGCTGTGAACCGGTGGGTCAAGACTAGATTGACAAGGTATTTAATAGCTGCACAGTGCAGGGGAGCACAGTCATCTGTTGTATAAACCTCCAGACCAGGATCCATGACCACACGGACCTGGAGTAAGGTGTTCCAGTCAAGCTGCTGTCGTGGTTCCTGTGATTTCAATCCCACAGAAGAAAATGAACATATTCTAGACATGATTTGGAAGAAACCTCAGCTGTGTGAGCCAAATTTAAGGGATCACAAATATCCTGAGTTGGAAGGGACCCACAAGGATCATTGAGTCCAGCTCCTGGCCTTGCACAGGACACTCCAACAATCCCACCATGTGCCTGAGGGCGTTACCCAAACACTCTGTGAGCCCTGGATACTTCAGGAGACAGACAGTATTTACTGGAGAATATTTCTTTCAGGATCTCTTAGAGCTGCTCCTCAAGTGAAACTAGACATTAACAAAAATAGTTATTTACTGGCATGGCTCTACCTGCAGAAAGGGCTCTTGCTGGGAAATGTCACTGCACGAACACAACAGGAACTGGTGGAGGGGACACGTCTTCAGTCACAAACCAACTAACTGCTCACAGGCACAGCTCAGGCTGCTCATGAGGTTCCTGTGGATTCGACCCATTTTCACATCCTGCCCAATCTTGGTGAAGGGCATTTCCTACTGAAACGACGACTTACACTTGCCTGATCTTTAGATATATTACATAGATAGATATTTAGATATATTACAACCAGCTTGAGTGAGCTTATTCCCACAAATTCTTGTGTTTACAGCATAAGGTCTCCATCCCTTATTCCCTCGCTTTTAAAACATATGTATTTTTACACTGTGAAAGTTTTTAGCTGCACCTCAGACCTCATCTAAAGGGAGAATGAAACAACAGACTGTGATTTTTACATCATAGACCTAAGCTAAGAGACTCAGCTCCCAGTGCAGGGGCACAGCACATCCCCAAGACTCAGCACTTGGGGATTAATTAGCGAGAAGATCGTTTATTTGAACGACATGTTATTTGGAGACCTTCAGTTGCTCGTCCTTCATCCCCATCTTTCCAGGTGTGAGCCTTCTGCCACTGTTGGGGTCCCACCTCCAAGGTGTGGGCAGCACAGGGTGACATTCTCTTGCAGGGGCAGATCCCACAGAGCTCCTTTTCGGGGGGACAGGCCCCATGGAATAGGGAGACACATCTCCTTGTGTTTTGCTTTTGCTGGTGTGAGGTTCTCAGGAGACCTCCAGGCACTGCAAGGCTGTGGAACCAGGGATTAACTCAGAGAGCCCAGGGGGTGTTACAGAAGCAGCACAAGGGACCTGAGGCTTTGTCTCAGCTTCACCTGAATTTGTTTTGCACACAGAAAATATCCCATCTGGAGACTGTTATGGGGAAGGAAAAATAGAGTCAGCCCCAGGCTTGGCTGCAGGGCAGGTTTTGAAGGACAAAACACTCACCCTTGCTACTGTGTTCTGACAGAGCTGCCAATCCCAGGAGCTTCTGTAAATCTGGCTTGAAATCAGAAAATGGGAAATGAAAACAGAGAGTCTGACTCACTGCTATTCAACTCTAATTTTAATTCCCTGGAAGATGGGAGTTCTCTCTGGAATGATGCAGTATGTAGTGGATTAGGGGCCAAGATTTCAAACTGCTCCTGGAGTTTACCCCCCTCCCAAATGGTATTACTGGCACAGGACTGTCCTCCAGCAACAAGGAGGTGACAGAGAGAAGCTAAAAGCACCCAAAGCAAGATGGAAAAGCCTGGAACCTGCTCCTAGGAGCTGAAATCCACCTCTTTAAATGGTTATGGAAGCAGAGGTGCTGCTGGCTGCTGGTGACGCCCCTGAACCACCTCGAGGTGTGAGTGTGGAGGTGCCAAAGTCTTTGTGGCCTTGGGGTTTGCTGCGAGGTGTCATTTCCTCCCATCTCTCGGTGAGGGAGGCCAGGAAGGGAGAGCAGCCCTTCATCAGCTGCTGCTCCACCAGCAGCTCAGGGGAACTATATTTACCAGGACTGTGGTCAAACCGTTTCCTCTCGGCAGGGCGGTGTCTGGTTTTCCACACACAGCACTCAGCAGCTCACAGGAATTCTGGTCTGATGGGTAAGAGCAGTAAGGGAAAAAAAAAAAAGCCACAGCCCAAAAAACAATCCCAAAGAAACGAGTTGACTTTTACATCAGGGAAGCTCTTCTGGAGCCCACGCTCCTGTTACTGGTGAGTAAGAGAGAACAGCACGTGGAAAAAATTCCTCAGATCTGTCTGCCCATCTCCCTGCAGATAGAGGATCCCTTTGATGCAGTACAGTCTTTGTTTAATTAAGTTTTCAAATCCCAGGCCAGAGGATCCCCCTTGCCCTAACGAGGCTATTTGCACATTTGCTTTGCTTTCTGTTCCCTCCCCCAGTTCCTTCTTCCCCCTCAACAGGGCCTCCAGGCTTTCTCTTCCCTTTTTCTTTGCTCTGCAGCAAAGCCATATTCCCTTCCTCCCCCACCTGGCTCCCTGGGGGAAGGACTGGAAAGCAAAACAAAAGAATCACTCGCTGGGAAACTATAATTGGCACAACCCTTCTCGCTCCAAACCTCCCACTGGAGAAGGTGAGGGAACAGCAAAGGCCCCTCCCGTAGGGAGTCAGACCAGGAAAAGCTGGAGGGAGGGAGTGAAGGCTTTGAAGCCAAGGCTCAAAGCTTTGATGACTCCAAGAGTGCTTTGAGGGAGCCTCGAGGTAACCAAACTCCGGTCATCCCGGTTAATGCCATGGCAGAACCGGCTCCTGCTCTGCTCTGCACCGTCCAGGGCTCCTGCAGAGGTTGATTTATCTCAACTAAAAATATCACCTGGTTGTGCTGTTGGCACAATTTCCCGTTGTGACACTGGCACTGTGTGCGTGGTGGGGTTGAAGGGATGGGTAGGTAGAGCTGTACCAGCACCAGGAGCAGATTTAGAGCTCGATGAAGTTATAATTTAGATTAAAATAATCATTGCACAATTGCACTTTCTAGTTGTCCCTTCCCTAAGCCAGAAATCATAGCTCAAAACATTAACTCCTGTGTGAGTGGCTGGTGTATAAATGTGCAATTGACACATTTTATGTATTTTTAGAAATATTATAAAGCAGGAGTCCATCCCTGCCAGTGTCTCTTCCTTGCTCTGGGCTCCTCTCAGGGATACACGGGAACTCCAGTGCAGGTCTGGCTCTCGGGGAGGTGTTTGTTACAAGGTCACAACCAAGTTAATTTTGACTTGTGCCAAGTCCTTGGGTGGAAGGAAAGGGCCAGTGGTAGAGTGTAGCCATGGCAGTGTGGTGTGACCATTAGGATATGTGCCCATGTACCAACCCCACATCGCCAGCGGTCACTCAATTAATGCTCTTCCAGCAGAGATGCTGAAAACTGCATCCAATGAAAACCCATTGTACACTGGAGACTCGAAAAGTTTAAGGATGAATTGGACCAGACGCTTCAGACGTGACTTTGGCCAAGGCTTATTAATCCTTGAAGATGTAACTAAGGAACCTTGGACCCACGGTGGGTAATTCGGTGTAACCGCGGTGCAGCTGCTGCCCCGGAGACTCGGATGTGAAACCAGGACCTGATTTACCAATATTTAACAAATGTCATCTTTAATTGGTGGCACTTTAATGAGTGACACGCTCCTTAACAATCAGGTAATGAAATTGGGAACACTTATTGGATCACTCAGAAAAAGTGGGGCTCCGAGTCTGTGTGAGGAACACAATAAAAACCAATTTGGTGTCCATGGAAGCTGTGAGATCACTGTGCTAGCCCTCTCTCTGCAGGACAATGTGTCTGCATCCACCTGAGCCTGGCTTTAACTGTGCCTATGGGAAAGGAATCCACTGCTTCTGGTAACTAAGCAAATGATCTTTTCAGTCCTTGCGGGGAATTGCTCCTCAGAGATGACAAATACATTCGTTATCTTTCACTTTGAGAAATAGGAACTGGTCCTCCTAAGTAGTTTCAGCCTAATGATCCAGCCACATCCTGAGTACCCAAATTCTGCTCCAATTACCTGTTAGAGCTCATACAGTGAGTATCAAACCTCACGTGGTGCCAACTCATAGGGTTTCAAAACATATCAGAATTTGGCTTTTTGCCTGAGCCACGGCTTGCACTTCTATTGTTCAGTCACTTGATAAGTCTTCTCTGTTTCTCCTCAGCTTCCAAGATTTCAAACTAATTTCTTTACTGTACAATCAACAGATTTAAATGAACTTTCTACTGAGCATTAAAATCCAGTGGGATCTTATTTAGACTGCCCAGAGAAGCTGTGGCTGCCCCATCCTTGGAAGTGTCCAAGGCCAGGTGGGATGAGGCTTGGAGCAACTGGGTTTAGTGGAAAGTGTCCCTGCCCATGGCAGTGGGGGGAGCTGGATGATCTCTAAGGTCCCTTCCAACCCAAGTCATTCTGGAATTCCATGATTCTATGATTTAGCAACCCCTCAGTTAGATTTTCAGTGAATAACTACCCCGTTTTGCAGATTTTATGACAACTGGCATTGCCGAACTCACCAGTATTAACAATTTAGATTCCTCCTACCCAAATCTGGTGTCCCACACGTGAGTCCACAGGGACAGGAAAGGAGGGAGATCTCTTCTGCATCCAGAGACCCTTTTCCTGATCAACCCTGGAACAACAGGGTTCACCATCACCTTGGGGCACAGGAACCTTGTGGTAAAATCAAGTTCACACAGAACGGGAGAGACGGCAAAGGAATAACAAACTGTCCATGAAGTTGTGATTGCCTTAGTCACAGCTGAACATTTTAGAATCCAGGATTTATTCTCAGTGGGAACAGGGAGCTGTCTCATTTCAGTGACACGAGAGGAAAGGCCTTAGTCACAGAGCTGATGCCCATTGTCTCTGTGCTCCCCGGGCTGGTATAAAAGCAGGCGAAGGGCACTCGGTGTCACTGCAGGAGACACGTTGTGCAGGTCAGGACTTCACTGGGATCAAACAACACCACCAGCAAGTAGGTAATGTTCCTTTTGTAACTGCAAGATGCTTTGTAATTAACATATATTTTACTGTTGATCACAATAGTGTTGCTTCTCTTTTGTGTATGAGCAGGAGTTCTACATTAGCACAATTTAAAATGTCATTCAGCAAGTAAATATACACATCTATATGTATATTTATGTGCATGTATCTGCTTTTAATACAGATATTTTTAATCAGGACTAATACTCATTTGTTATTTCGTATCTAGTTTGATTTCAATGTGCTGCCCAAGGAAATCACTCACAAATTAGTGGAGCAGACTTATTAAGAACAAGCTTAATTGTTACAAGCAAATATATAATTTATTTGTATTACATTAATGTATAATTTGCCTTTCTATCCAACCCTTGACAATTCAATATTCAAGTTAGTATAAAGACAAGTCATTTTAGGAGATGCTGAGTTTTTTATTATCCCAAACTTCCCCTGCACAAAAAGAAGTATTTCTTCAAAGAGTTATATGGGAATATAACTTTACTATTCTTACATAATCATTTAAATGCTGCAGCTTTTGTTTTGTTGTCCCCCCAGGTTTTGATGTAACGATTAATACAGGATTTTCAGGTAAATGACTAAAGGGACAGACTGGAGCCAGTCCTGAAGCAGGGTACAGTCATTAGTGTGAAAAATGCAGAGATTTTAGGGATAGACCTGGCAACAAAGACATGGTGGGTTGAAGGAATGGGTAGGAAGAGGTGTATCAATGCAGATATAGAACTGGATGAAGTTATAATTTAGATTAAAATAATCATTGCACAGTTACATCATCTGGTTGTCCCTTCCCTAAGCCAGAAATCCACTCCTTCACTGAAAAGAAATCTGGCATCAGTCTAATAAAAGCCCAGATATTTGCATGTCAGCACTTGTGCTGCTCATGGAAAAGGCCCAACCCCCAGGGCAATGAACACCTTTTAACTTGATATTCCTGCTCCACTTTTAAATACTTTGTTCTGTGATTTTCAGCAATCCTGATCTTCTTGACAAATTTCTGTGAAGTTTTATCAGGGAGGTCTCTTCCCAGCCCTGAAATGTGCTTGCAAATGCAGAAGAGTGGGAGGTGTTATATTGAGAGGCAACACTGGGAAAGGAGATTTAGGACTCTGAGCAAGGAAATACAGAACTAAACTCTGAATCCTATTCATCTTTTCTGGTGTATGTTCAAATCCACATGACTGATGTTCTGGGAGGTCCTGGGATGATTTCCCACAGCACAATGCTCCACTTTTACCTGTGCTTAAAGGCTGAAATTCATTTTGTCAGGTGAAAGGAAGAACAGAGGGAAAGATTTCTGATCCCACCATCAGCTGCTGGTCCTGTGGAGTGGATTTAAGAAGAGAGAAAATGTTCCTGCCCCAGAGGTCTCTGCAGACAGTTACATTTTTGGCAATTCTTTTTTTTGCCTGTTTTGCAATGTGTCAAGAGATTGAAAAGTAAGTAACATCATCCTTTTACTTCGTTATTATAATTAGAAAACTGCTTGGTTCTGATTTAACAGGCTGAGTTCTGCACTGCTGTCAGTAACTCCAGGCATGGGGGAAAGAAAATTCAATATATTTGATACAGCAACATTTTACATCACTCTCTCTGCAGTATAAAATTAGTCCAATTGCATTTTTAGATGTGTAACGTATCACATCAGTTGATGCTTTTAAACACAGTGTACAAACCATGTAAGGATGTTCAACACAGGCCATGGAGATGGCACATGCTAAAATTCCATATTTAGGTTCCCATTTGGATTCAAATCTGCAGCAGGAGCCTATAGCTGCAGTTAGATGTTATCTGAACAGCCTGAAATCCTGAAATATTTGCATCCCAGAATTAGCCTGCCCTCCTCACTCAACACTGGGCTCAATATTTTTGAGGAATCTGAAGTAGCTGAAGAAAATAAGGTTTTGTTTTTATTTCATGGACATCAGTGATTCCAGCTAAATTCCAGTGATTCCAGCTCTGGGAGGAGAGAAGCAAACCCAAAAATCCTGTAACACTGAGGTGAAGGAAAGGGAACTTTATTCTGAAAAGAATCTAAATCTGGGAAAGCCCCAAACTCTGTGAGAGCTCTTTAAACCTGCTCAGGTCATTTTGTTGGTCTTCCCAGTTTGCCTTTTTTAAAAAAAGGAGGTTCAAGGTACACCTTTGGGAATGGCACAGGGTTCCAGCTTCCTGCCTTCAGGAATGGGCTGCCTGAGTGGGAATGGTGGGCTGTGGCACCACCAAAAGGCTCCTGTGTGGGGTTGGTGGATGCCAATCAGCATCTCTGGTCCCTCATTCCCTCATTTTTCCCTGCAGCAGAAGAGCAGTGACGGAGCACCAGCTCATGCACGACAAAGGGAGGGCCTTCCAAGGGCTGAAGCGCCTGCTGTGGCTCCACAACGCCCTGGGCACCGTGCACACAGCCAGCAGCAGGGACATCCCACCTCCAAATGCCACGTGGGATGTGCAGAAGAGCCCAAATCCCTCAGATCTCCACAACAGCATCGGTGGAGACGAGACTTCCAGCCGGATGGAGCAGCTGCTGGAGCTGACGGAAGCACAGGGATTCCTCCCGTTAAAGCAGCTGGATTTGAAGAGCCCAAAGGGGAACTGGAACCCACAAGGCCTTTTTGAGCTGCTCCAAACCAAAGAGCTGGGCAGCAAGAGAAATCCCAGCACGCAGCCACAGGACTATTCCCGTTAGCCCTCAACCCCCCCCGGGCTGTCCCTTGCTTTCCACATGTGCTCTTGTAGGGAAAAGCTCCAGCACAAAGGTGAACTGCAAAATAAAGATAATTAACTGCATTTACACCTCCAGATGTTGATAGAGACCCTTATAAGGAGCCAAGTTCTCTCCTGAGCAGCTGAGTGCTGTGACTATGAGATGGGTCACTTGTCACAGGCACTTCTCTTTTACATCAGGGCCCTCCCTGTCTGTCCTGGATATCTTAGGGGTGCTGCAGCCTCTTGGAGCTCCTGTAGCCCACTCAGCAGGAAGTTTGGGTCATTAATGTGCATATTTGGAGGCTCACTGGAGCCTAATGTTTTGACTCCTGAAGAAAGTTATCTCCTAATACAGGTTCTCTTTCATTTCACCCCTGCCTGCAGTTCTGCCCTGCTCTAATAATGACTTTTCTTATACTGTAGGTCCAAAGGGGTTTTTTCCCTGCTTCTTTGGTGTAATGAAAGTTTTAAGCCTCTCATCCCTCAGTTTGTCCTTCCTTTTGCCAGGTAAAAGTTGACAGTGATCCCCACTCAGCCAAAGCCCTAAACATTCACCTTGTTCTGCTGGTGGAAGGATGAGAACCAGCTTCCAGGGTCTCTATTTCAGCCTTTTGTTCCAACACTTCCTTCCTTTTCTTTCCTCATGTGAAATCCTCTCCCAAGAGCTCCCACAGCAGCAGAAAACCAGCTTCATGAGGCCACCTGCATTTCCTGGAGTAGGTACCACAGGATTTTGCTGTTCACCTTTGCCATCAAACTGATCATCTCTGCCTAAGCAAAGCAAGGTCCAGTTTAATTGTAAAATCAGTCTTTCAGAAATGAAATCTCTCGTGTGTTACGAATTTATCAGCGTTTCCATCGTGTAGGGACTCCACACACCGTTTTAAACCCTGAAATTCCTCTGTTGCCGATAGACTTCAACTGTGCAGAATGTATTTCTCAGTGATTAAAATGTTGATAATAAAAACCCTTTTCACCCTCTGAATTGTACTTGCTTTTGTTTTGGTAGAAATGTAAATAAATAAACGAACAAATAAATAAAAAACCCCTTTGCCAATATATGTCCACACATTTGGGATGAGTATGGAGTCACGTTTTTTTGGTTGTGCCACCCCTCACAGGTCCCTGTTAGATTCCCAAGGCCAATCAAACCATTACTGAAGCAGATGGTGAGGTGAAGAGCTGAGAGGGGTGAGGCAAAACCAGGTTACACTGCCCGAGCAATGAATTTGCTGAGCTGGGATGTGGGAACTCTTCCTCCCTGGAACCCATAGGATGGAACCCCGGGAACCTGACTGTGACCAGCTCAAACCTCTCCAGAACTGGCTGTGTCCTGCCCAGCACACTCTGGAGCAGCCCCTCTGCCCCTGCAGACGTGGATTCCTCTGGGAATGACTCCCTTTGAGCCCTGGGAGGTGGAGGTGACCATGGCACCTGTCCCTGGGTGTGCCTCCCTCCTGTGTCACCACGGGGTGACCAGATGTGTGTCACCCGTGTGGGGATGGGGACAACCGCCCTCCCCTGGGTGGTGAGAACAGGCTGTGTGCGGGGAGGTGAGGCTGTGCCTAGTCTCCGAGCCTGCAGGTCACAGCACCACTGTGGGAAGGGGGGAAGGCAGCAGGACAGGGCTCCCCAGCCCCGCGGGACCGTCCCAAGAGCACTGCCAGGAGCAGGAGGAAGGCTGGCACGGCGGGGCTCCCTCTGAGGGGAGAACACGGGCCGGGCCGGCCCGATGCAAAGTGCGGGGTGCGCCCGCTGCCCCCACGGCTGGGTCCGCACCAGCCCCCGAGCCCTTCCAGCCCCGGAGCCCCCCGGGCGGGCCCGGGGCCCAACTGCAGAGCCCCCGGCACGGATCCCAACCTTGGAGCCTCCGCTGCCGAGCCCCAGCCGCAGACCCCCCATCGAGGAGCCCCCACTCCGGAGCCCTCAGCACAGAACCCCCATCCCGGAGCCCTCAGCACAGAACCCCCATCCCGGAGCCCCCGTTGCAGACGCTCAGCACGGACCCCAAACCCGAAGCCCCCCTCTCTGATCTCCCCATTTTGCAGCCCCCAGCACAGAACCCCCATCCCGAACTCCCCATCCTTGAGCCCCCATCCCGGAACCCCAAAGTGGAGCCCCCACCCCGGTCCCCCAGCACAGAACCCCCAGGCCGGAGCCCCCAGCGTGGACCCCCATCCAGAGAGCCCGCCCCGGAGCCCCCATTCCGGAGCCCCCTCACAGAACCCCCCCCCATTCCCCGCTGCCGCCCCTCAGCCCGGCCCGGCCCGGCCCCTCAGCCCGGCCCGGCCCCTCAGCCCGGCCCGGCCCCTCAGCCCCGGCGCAGGCGCGGCGGGCGGGCCGGGCGGTCGCTGCCGGGCGGGGCGGGCCGGGCGCGGGGCGCCTGCGCTGCCGGAGCGGTGCCTGGGCCGCCCGTCCCGGCCGGGTCGCCGTCGGAGCGGGGGGGGCGCGGCGGTAGCGGCGCGGGGGCTCCGGTGCCCCCGGTCCCCCCGGTCCCGTGCCCCCCACCCGCCTCGCCGAGACCCCGCCTCGCCGCCAGCCCGCCCCTCCCGGGGGGCTCCGGTAAGCCGCTCCCGCCTTGTTACCGCGGGCGCTGCTCCGCATCCCCTCCCCGCCCTCCTGATTCCTCTCCTCCTTCCCCCGGGCCCTTCGCCGCCGCCGGGGGAGCGGAGCGGGTGTGGGCCCCCCCCCAAAGCTCCCGGGTGTGGTGGGGCTGGGAGCGGGGGTGCTGCGGGCCGGGGTCTCTCCAGCGGTGGGTTCCCCCTCCTCCCCTCAGTGTGGGGGGCTCGGGCCGCCTTTGTCCGCTCCCGGTGATGCTGCAGGGCCCCTCCGCCCGTCGGGCCGCGGAACCGCCTCCCCCGGTGCCCCCTCTCCGGTCGATCCAGCCCCGCACCGTCCCACCCGCCCCCGTGGGGGTCGGCGGGCTCTGAGCCCCGTCCCCGTGGAAGGGGCCGCCGCCACCAACAGGTGGTTTGACACCGATACTTTCTCCTTTCTTCCCCTTGTCTTTTTGTCCCCGCACCTCTTTCTGTCAGATAATTCTCCTGGTTTGATCTCTAGGAAGTGAGAACCGCTCATGGCTTTCACACCTCTCGCTTAGAGCTATGGGTGTAACAGCCCCATCTCCGGGGGTTTAACAGCCCCATCTCCGGGGGTGTAACAGCCCCATCTCCGGGGGTGTAACAGCCCCATCTCCGAGGGTGTAACAGCCCCATCTCCGGGGGTGTAACAGCCCCATCTCCGAGGGTGTAACAGCCCCATCTCCGGGGGTGTAACAGCCCCATCTCCGAGGGTGTAACAGCCCCATCTCCGGGGGTGTAACAGCCCCATCTCCGAGGGTGTAACAGCCCCATCTCCGAGGGTGTAACAGCCCGGTTGCTGGGGGTGTAACAGCCCATCTCTGGGGTTGTAACAGCCCCATCTCTGCAGAGGGTGACACCCCATCTCTGGGGCTGTAACAGCCCCATCCCTGGGGTTGTAACAGCTCATCTCTGCAGGGTGTAAAACCTCTCCCTGGGAGCGCACGGAGAATGTGACCCCCCCTTTGCGTGGAGTCACTCAGAGCTGCTCCTCCCATGGTCCCACCTCGCATAAAGAAACAGCACCATCCCAAAAATCATCCAGCTGAAGGTCCTTTTCCGCCAGGATCCTGCACAGGCAGCACACAAGGAGCTGGTGTCTGTAGAGGAGGTGGTTTGCAGGGGCCCAGCGGTGACGCCTCGTAAACAGCTGCAAAAAGTGAACAGAAAGAGTCACTCAGAGCTCGTTGGCAGCACCCAGGGTTGTACAAAGGGGAAGTGTCTCACCTATGTTTGTCTGCAACTTCTAGTAACAGTTGCAAAAGTGTTACCTCACTGTGAGTTACGTGATACCCAGGAAAACCAGTTTAAGGGGTAGTTGCATGTTTGAAATCTTTGTTTTTAATGCATTTTAGGAAGCAGAGGTTGCTTGTCAGATATGCCCTGAAACTGCTACTGGTCGGAAGTGGCACACACCAGTATTTACATATTGGATTCACAAAGACAGAAATGAAAATATGAAAATATGTATTTTTCTCAGAAATAAATATGTAGGATACTTACACTAGGGTTTGTTTTTTTGGGGGTATTTTTTAAACTGCAGTGTGTTCAAAGGCAGTGATCTTCTGGATTTGTCCAGATTTTTGGGTGAAAACATCTAGGAAAAGTGCTTAGAGGCAACTAAATGCCTTTTTTGTTCCTTCCTCGGTTGCTCTGTTAGTGGGATGACTTTCAGGATTTTGATGACTTTCACAGCAGAGGAGCCAGGAGGCAACTGATGGAGTTATTTCTGCAGGGGTTACAGGAAGCACAACTTCTGGGTTAGGTGTTTCAGGGGGATATTCCTGAATTTTAAACATTTACTAAAGATAGAATGTGTTGGGAGCAGCAAACATACGCAGTACTGGCTGAAGTTGTGGTTTTTGAGGCACCACATTTCTTAAGTTTCCTTCCCTCTTATTTTCAGATCAAATATGTTCAAAACAGGAAGTTTGACTTGTACCTTTTATTTTGTAAGACTTTTCCCTACTTCGTCTTAGTTTAGACTGGTGGCATTTGTTGTTAAAACCCGAGCTCTGTGATTCAGCATCATTTAATTGATTTCAGCTCTCGTTTGAAGGTTATTTGCCATTTATAATGTTTAGTTTTCTCCTCCCTTTTTCTCTCCTAGCAGCCATGGCAATGACAGGCCCCACGCCGTGCTCGTCCATGAGCAACCACACCAAGGAGCGAGTTACGATGACAAAGGTGACGTTAGAAAACTTCTACAGCAACCTCATAGCACAGCACGAGGAGAGAGAGATGAGGTAAAGATCTTCCTTGTTTCTTTTCCAGACTGGGTAAGAGCCCAAATTTATATTAACTGCATTTAGCTTTCCTGAGCCAAAGCAAAAATCATAAAATCCCAGGATGGTTTGGGTTGGAAGGGACCTCAAAGCTCATCTCATTCCACCCCCTCTCATGGGCAGGGACACCTTCCACTAGCCCAGGTTGCTCCAAACCCTGTCCA